GTGAAAAATTCTCGAATGTGACGTTAAACAACAATCAATCAATCTATCGTCAACTTTCCTTATTTATGTAGTAGTATTTCGCTATCACCTGCATATTGTGTTTATGTCACAACTTACAGTATTCGATACTCAAGAGCATGCTTTGAGTATGATCAATTTTTAAACCGAGGCAGGCTACTGGCAGATAAGTTGATATTACGGAGAATTCAACATTCTCTTTTAAAGTACGCATTTCGTAAATTATATGGTCGTTATAATAACCTTGTTAGCAAATACAAACTGTCATTAAGTCGTATTTTGACTGATATATTCCTAAAAATTGTTAGGTATTTGTTTGTGTACTAAATTTGACTATGGAATATTCTGTCTACTTGATTAGTGTATAGGGCTCACGGCAGATGTCATCGGTCGACAGAGGATGCTTACTCCTCCTAGGCACCTAATCCTACCTCTGAAATTTTAGGGGGACTGAGTTTTTTTGCTCTGTTCACAGATTTGTAATATTTGTATACTTTTGGAGATGGTTCACTGTTCGTTATCTTTGTCCTTTTCATTTTTAATGAGTAATACATATTATAATCAGTCTATGAAAGTCCAACAATGTGAAATACAAATTAAGGCAAGAAATTGTTTTTGCGATCTATCTCATGGCGGTCCGGGTTTCTTTTTTTACAACTGGTTATAAACTTCAAATCAAACATGTAACATTGTAAATATATATATAGTGTTTGGTACTTTAGTAGTAGTGCTAGTTGTTTTTTCTGTTTCCTTTGTTTTTATGACTTCTTTCTAAACTTTTTTCTTTGTCCTGAGGAAGGGACAGGGCGTCCGGAAAATTTGACAATTTCTATTGTTCGTGTCGTTGGTCATTTTTAGTGCTATATATATATATATATATATATATATATATATATATATATATATATATATATATATATATATAGCTTTACTTTACGTTACAAAAAAATTAATTCCTGTCGTCACGACCATTACAGCTACTCACATAAGTGCACCTTTCCTTCAAGATGATGTTTAGTTCTTGCTCTTGTTTTTCAAATTATTCATATTTATATAAAAATTACTCCATGTCTGCGAAATCCATCGTATGTTACCTTTTTCATGTTTTACTACCATCGTGGTAAAAATAACTGTCATCAATTTCACAGCAGTGTTATACTTAATTAACTAAGGTTCACGACAATGAATGAAATATATTGCAATGGAAAGGTTGGGAAATACTGAAGAACAATAGTTTTTGTTTTCAACATAATAGATTCGTTTTCCCCTCACTATGTATAATGTAACGAGTAAGAATTTAAAAATTACAACATTTTGAAAAAAAAAACCCAAACATTACGAATAATCTAAAACAAATTCTGCAAAAATGCAGCTGCTTTCCTTTTATACATATAGTATATGTAATTATTACGATACATCAAATCAAGTAGCGGCGTTGCGTTTCAAGGCGTGACCGTGCGTCTTGCATCAAACTCAAGGATGTCCTGGGAACTTTTTCCCAGTCTATATGTTATGCTAATATCAGCAAGGGTTTTTCTCAAATAGGGAACTGGCGAGTTAACGACTCTATACAAGGTTTCCAGAGAACACAGTTTCGTGAATACGAAAATTGAAAGTATTGATAGAAGGCTCACAGAAATATCATCTCTAGTCAACGACTCTGTTTCGTATAGATTGTGGTTATCCTTATGTAGATTACAGGATGAATGGTAAATCAGGAAGATCCCATGTTCGTTTTGAAAATGATGCTCAAGTAAAAAGCTCAAGATGAGGAAAATGCGACCCAACTTTTGCCGATTTTAGAGGTAAAAACCAAAAGCCCGCAAGTTATGCTGGCAAGACCGATTGAAACGATAGTTGAACTCAATAACTGGAGTGACGTAAAAAATGCTTATGTGCTTGCAACAAGGCTTAGAGGTGATGCTCAAACTGTTCTGAGCGGTATCTGTCCAATTAAGGGTCTGAAATATCAGCAGTTAATCAAAACTCTTGATTCAAGATTCGAGTCCTGGAATCAATCTGAGTGCACTGCACAGAAATCAAAAAAAAAAAAATAATAATTTGAAAACGTGGAGAAATATTAAATTAGCTCATGATATAAAATCACTCGCAAGATATGCATATCCAAATGTCACTCCAGAAAACTGGGACAACTTGCAAAGATTGTTTTATGGATTCCCTATGCGACGCTGAAATTAAATGGGCTGTGTATTAAAGCAAACCTTCATCACTTCAACAAGAAGTTACATTAGCCCTTGAATGTGAAGCTTTCCAGAATGGGCAGAAACCGAGATCAAATTAAAATTCAGTCGAGCATTGAATGAAATTCAGAACAATAGCCCTTCTCCCAACAGCCCACAGGATCCCTTAACTGTAATAAACAGAGACGATCCTAAAAAACACGCAGATTTCAGCGTCTTAAGGTCAGCGTAAAGGCCCATGTCAATAATGCGGCTTGAATGGACACTGGAAGTCCGAATTCAGAAAATACAAGAGAGACCAGAACATGAAACATACACTTGTAAAACAACACTTTCCCCACTGTTCAAAGAAACCCTGCTTTACACTTAGTGTAGCTGACATAATGGGTCAAGTACCACCTAAACCCGAAACACCTGAAAATTTGGATACAAACCTCGCTTTTAGAAATCAGACGTATTGCTTGTGAAAGCCGCTATTTTTGGAGTTGAACTTAATGTCTAATACAAGCATGATTTGATTGTTGCTGATATTGACGAGCAATTCTTCCTTGAATTTGACTTTTTAGCTCAGTATAAATGTAAGATTGATGCTGCCAGAAATAAATTTTCTTTGTTTGTTGTTTAAACGTCCAACTCGAGAATTTTCACTCTTATGGAGACGCCACCACTTGCCGGTGGAGGGCTGCAAATTTAGACCTTTACTCGCCACTCATGGCCATTAAGGGATCTTTTTCGTGCCAGCACGTACTGCGACACAGGCCCTCGGTTTTTATGGTCTCATCCGAAGGACAGGTCGCCCTCGTCCCACAGAGGGGTCCGAATCTGTGACGTAGAGACCAACTGCTTAAACCGCGATTCTAGAGCAGACGATCTAACCACTGCGCCACGCGGGAGACGAAATAGTTTGTAGTATGGACATAAACCTGCATAAAAAAACAATCTCAGGGAACGAGTCAACCTGTCGGATTCGTGGAAGTGAAGATGTTTCACCCCATCCAGTGAAATGGTAAATAATGGAGACATTGTTGGAGATACTGCCATAACAAATGATGTCCTAGGAGTCATGAAGTGAAAAGCTTGCTCAAAGTGGTGTTGTAATAGCCCGATCCCTTGTACATTTGAATCAAGGTTGTGAAATATGAAGATAACGAACAGTATTCAATCTCAAAAGTCCAATGAAACGATAGAAATTTGGAGCAGAGCAAACACGGACCTCGAAATTTAGATATGGGATCAGGTGCCATGGAGGAGTGAGCATCCCTTGCCTACCGGTCACACCCGCCGTGTGCTCCTTGTCATGATCGGAAAAAAACCCGGAAAAATCCGTAGACAGTTCAGTGTATAAATAATGGTCTAACAATTAGTATGAAAAACGTCAGTTAGCATTTAACTCAATGATAGGTTGTATGTGCTGACAAGGTCATTGCATCGACCATAAAACTTGCGAAATGATGACTTCAAACGAGACTGTTGATATCCTTGTTTCATCAACTTGTTTGTCAATAGTTTGCCTCATTTTAGACATTGTTCATATGTAGAGCATGCTCTTGCATATCGAATCAACTGAGAGACATAAACCCCATATGCAGGTGATAAGGGTATATTGCTTCATAAGTAAGGGAAGTTGACGATTGAAAAGTTGAAGTCATCACGTTTATCAAAAGCTTTGTTGTTAGGTTCCCACTAACGTCTTTTTCTAGTAAAATTCATATGTCGACACATTTTACTGGTCTAATAATAAGAAAGACATTATAAACTGGTGTCAAGAGTGCCCCATTTGCCAAATACAAATCCAGTTACCAAACAAATTAAGGCCTATGTGAAACAGTACCAGTGGAAAGTGTGGCCATAAATATTTGTGGCCCTCGACCAAGAACAAAGACTAGAAAAGCATATATATTTGTTATAAGTGATTTGTTCTATCTGCTGGGCGGAGTTTCCCTTTGGTTCATATCGAAGCCTCCACGGTAGCACACTTCTGTTTTTCAATTTCTCTGTAGGTTTGGAGTCCATAGGCAATCCATGCTGATTAGGGTACACAACTCAAGAAATTTGCAAAATATTAGATATTGCCAAAACCAGAACTCCTTACCACCAAAATATTGGTGGATTAGTTGAAGGGTTTAATCGTCCATTGATTGGTTGATTTTATGTTCTTTTTACGTCCCATTCGAGAATTTTTCATCACGCAGAGAGCTTCAAATTTAGACCTATACTCAGGGCTATTGAGCAGTGAGGGTTATTTACCGTGCCTAATCTCGGTGGAGATTCGGCTCTTTTAGATATTTGGTCTGACGCCGAATCTCGGGACAGTCCTTCATAATTCACGTCTGGAAGTTAAGCCCCAACTTCGACCGACTATAGCAAGAATTATTCACCTAAGCGACACTGCCGTTCGCTTCAATTAATTCATTTAGTTGTTTAATTAACTCTCTGTCACTATTATTTCTACCTTCTTACCGTCTAGGCATGTAAATCCCAACATAAAAACATTCACTAAAATCTCCGTTCAAAATATGGTTCCCGTGACGTAAGTGTTTATCTCCTCGCATTAAAGAGTTCATATAGTCTGTTTTCATTTATGTAATTCTGAACCACTATCTACTGTGGCTATTGTATAGATAGATTTGGAAGAACTGTAAATGATTCTAATGTTATTTTAGACAATGTCATAGAAGCAATCTAGTTTCATTTCTGGTCAGTTCCTTTAAGATTTCGAATGGGTTGAGCAATAATTTTTTATTTCTAAATAAAACCCAAAAGCAAAAATCTTACCACTTTGCTCTTTTTACTTTATTCCCTCCAGTATTTGTGCCTAATGTGTTTCACAACCTTGCTGTTGGCAAAGTAAGGATCATGTTGCTGAATTATTTGCATGACAATGATTTCCATGCGGTTTCTTACTTTTTGAAGGTCTTGCTTCATGGGCAGAAACTTTTCCATGGGAATGTCAACAGCCTTTAGAACCTCTTCATCAGTGATATGAGTGGTAGGGATGCGATTTTCTGCACAATATGATAAGGCCCATAGCATCATTTTGTTCCGTCTGTTTGTGTTTTGATGGCATGCCTTTGTCATCTTGCCAACATTGTCCCATGTAATGGTTTACCCAGGTGAAGAAAGATCTAATATATTATATACACATACATGTAGTTACAGTTTATACCTGTATAAGTCTTTATTTTGAAAAAATAAGATTAAATATGATTCCTAAATTTACCCCATTACCTCCTTCAGACTAAATACTTTGTATCTCAACATCAGTTTTTCTATCACTAGGCAACTCCTGCAATGAGCTGCTAATTGTTGGTGATGAAGATACTAAGGCCTGTGATGATTCAGTCTCTCTTTCACTCTCCTCACTTATTACAGAGTTACTGTCTTCACTGCTCCTATAACCAACTTCTTCCTCAGGAACTTCAAACACCCCTGATTTCATCTGTTTCTTGATAAATAAATTGCATAATTAAAAAGCTGGAATTTTTTTCAATTTAATTTCATTTAAAAATAAATTTGTAAAACAAATTTCAAACCTCAATAACATGCTTCATTTTCAAAACATCTGCATCAGCATGTACCCTGAGTTTTGTTATGATTCTTAGGACAGTCTTTAAACTAGTACAAAACCTTAGTTTGTTCAAATGACTAAATGCCTGCAAATAATATTATCATAAATAAGAAAATGTTGCAAAAAATAATCTTTAATCTTCAGCCTTTTATTATATATCATGATGAAAATAATGTTCATGAATGAAAACCTTTCTTTGTGTCCCACTCCTAAACAGCTCTATAGAATTAAGCCCTTGCACAAACTTCACTTTGAAAGGCGATTTCAAGTGCAAGAGGATGGATGCGGCCAATCCTGCTCCAGGAATCAGAGATTTGTTTTTCCTTAAATGATACAAAAATAAGGTTAAGCAATACAGAAAATATTGCAGTTTTTAATCAAATAATTAGTCATAACATTTGGCAGAAGACATTTTTATAAACTAATAGGCAATTTTACTTGCAATTCATTTTTTCATAGCATACATACCCTGACTGAAGAGTTGCTTCTGTCAATGGACTGCTAATAGTTGCAACTATTGCAGCATGCAATAGGGGTATGTGCTTTCACACATCTGTCACTATAGAATCCCACTTGAATCCAACAATGTTTTCCATGCTGCATTTCTTAACTAAGGAGTTATTTGTTTCCTTTAAGAGATTCTTTACTCCCTTTCTGACTTTGTTCTTGATTAAGTTACTGACTGCTTTCTTTGCTCCAGGAAAATGGTTATAAAGGTATCGGAATGCTTTCTTGTATTCATAATTTTCTAGCAATCGACAAGCATTTGCAATGGACCTTCTCACCTGAAATTAATTTTAAATCTTGCAAATAAACTTGAAACACGGTGATTTTCCAATGTAGCACCGAATAAAGGCCCCATTCCCAATTGCAACCCCCCCCCCCCCCTTTTCCTCAAAAATGAACCCACAAGTTGACTTGATCAGAGTTTTGGTAAAAAAAAAAAAAACATGGCCAGGTTTGGAAATCTGAATGAAATAAACAAAATTTTAAGAAACCTGGCTAAAACTTTTTTTAATTGATATTATTCTTTAATTTACAATTCAGAATAATTAAGTAAAAGATCAATTTTATTCATCGTAAGTGTTTATTTCTTGAAAATCATCATGCAATAAAATTTCCCAATAAGTGATAAAATGTTGTTCAAGTTCAAGGGCCTGGGGCCCCAAAAATGAAGTGGAAAATTCCTGAAACAGTTATATTAAATTGCTTACCAATTTTGTAAACATTTTGGCCAAAAAATCTGATGTTGAATTAAACACGCTCCCCCCCCCCCCCTAAATATGCTGATACTAAATTTAAAAACTGTGCATTATTTCATCAATAATATACCTTTCCTTCTTTAAATTTCGGTGTCGTTCCCACTGATCGAAAAACTTTAGATTTTCGTGGGGTTTTCACAGGCGTCAACGAGTGTTTCAACATGGTATCAATCTGTTTACATGTACATTGTTACGTCATCTCCCGCCAAAATGTCCGAGTAAGCTGTATAGCCAGTAATGGATGAAAAGGATATCGTATAGACCTTCAATTCTTTGAAACATTTATACAAGTTTCAATTTACATTAAAAGATGAACAGATGTCCGTCCTGCTGGGTACAATGAACAAACACAATACTTTCGCACTCTTGCCGACAGAGTTTGGAAAGTCGATGTGCTTTACGCTGCCACCTCTTTTACTTGATGAGATATTTATGTCCTCTGTTATTATGATTTCACTTCTGATAATGTTTCAATATATTTTTTTTAATGTTCTGTATGTTTTTTTAGTTGGATTGGACCATTCAACGTATTTCTGTTGTTGTGTCACCATTGAAATCATTGACGGCAGACCAAGTGAATTCCGTTACAGAAATGGGGTCAGAGCTATAGCCATTTCACCAGAAATGCAACATGATATATACAAAGGTGGGATTAACATTAGTAATTAAGTTAACTTCAAATTGGATATAACTAAAACAAGAAATAAATGTTGCACTTAATTGCTTAATATTATTTTTACAGACATTAAACAGGGTAAATACTCCATAGTTTTTATTTCTCCCGAGTCTGCCACGTCCAAATTTTGGAGGGATATCTTCCTATCTGATGATCTCCAGAAAAGGATATGTTTACTTGCCTGTGATGAAGCACATTGCATTTCTGAATGGTACTTATTTTAATATTAAATTACTTTTGGAATTGATTTAATGGGTAATATAAAGTTAAAAAAGCTGTAAACATTGTCATTTCATTAATGGTGTGTATGTTGACAGGGCTGAAGACTTTAGGCCAGTGTACAAAGATGTGTTGAATCTGAGAGTCTTCTTGTCGGAGTTCCTGTCTTAGCCTTAAAAAAGATAAAAAAGTTAGGAAAGATGTTTTTAAATCATTATCATTAGAGGAGGAAACATTAACAATTGCTATTGCACCTGACAGGATGAATTTTAAATTCCTATGAAATTATATTACGTATAAATTTTATCTTGAAGATTTTAATTTAATTGAGTAACATCTTTTAATACATTGAAATCTATATTATTTTACAGGCCTAATATGTATTTGAACTTTAAGGCTTCCAAACAAAATCATGAAAGAGAATAACAGTGGCTTGTTAAATATCTAACACAAGAGGACATCAATGCCAGGAAAATCATTGTGTATAGCAGACAAGAGTACTTTCTACACTTTTTAAAAAACTACAATATATATTATATAATATATATATAAATATAATATATCAACTTATTTCCTATATAGTTTGTAACACAAGCTTTGATTGGTTACAAAGTCGGGTGTAAATTTCTGTACGCTCGACTTGAGCCAGGGGTAAAAAATGTGACGTACACCCTTTATTGGACCTGGATAACTAATAATATCATTTATTTCCTATATCTAAAAACTGTTGTACTTTCCAGATCTGTTACAGCAACCGCAACATTGTACAATCATGTGAAGGACTGTCTTCTGGAGCGGAACAAATCCATAGGAATAATTAGATATGTTTCACCGATCTATAGATGAGAGAAGCAGCCTTAGAGTGTTGGAATCATTTAAAATGCAAGAAAGCAGACTAAGCTGTCTCTTTCCAACTGTTGCATTTGGGATGGGCATACAGAGTTACTGGCAGGAGATTGGAAGAGCAGGTAGAGATGGAAGGCAATCCTATGCTATCTGCTATGCATATGGTAGATCCATGATAAAGAAAAACACGGATGAAAGCATCATTAAAATTGCCAAATCTTCCTTGCAAAAAGAGATGTGTGTGAGATATGCAATTTTGCAACACATGACAATAAAGGGCGTGAAAGATATTTCTTTAACTGAAAATGGAAGAGACTGTAAGGGCCATGGCGAGTGTCCTGCATTTAAATGTTGCTCCTTCTGTTCTGCACACTGTAAATGTAACACGTCTACAATTGAACAAAAACTTGGTATCTTATGTCACCATGTTGGTTGAATTTTTTAAAAACAAATATATGTTTAACTTATTTAGATATCAAATAATGCATTAATTTATCAATAAGTAAACTATAAAATTCATGATACATGAAAATATTGTGTTCACTGAGAATTTCTATCACTAAGCCTACTGAACTTTATATATATATATATATATATATATATATATATATATATATATATATATATATATATATATATATATATATAATCTTATAGACATCAATTTAAATCTAAATTTTTTAATTGATTAATTTAATTACATTTTATCTGATAATTTGTTCTCATGAATATCGTTTTTTAATCATGCTATATTTGAACGCATTTTGTACATTATTTAATATACAATAGCCACAGTAGAGTAGACAGTGGTTCAGAATCACATAAAAGAAAACAGACTATAGAAACTCTTTAATGCGAGGAGATAAACAATTACGTCACGGGAGCCATATTTTGAACGGAGATTTCAGTGAATGTTTTTATGTTGGGATTTACATGCCTAGACGGTAAGCAAGGTAGAAATAATAGTGTCAGAGAGTTAATTAAACAACTAAATGACTTAATTGAAGCGAACGGCAGTGTTGCTTAGGTGAATAATTCTTGCTATAGTCGGTTGAAGTTGGGGCTTAACTTCCAGACGTGAATTATTAAGGACTGTCCCGAGATTCGGCTTCAGATCAAATATCTAAAAGAGCCGAATCTCCACCGAGATTATATCGTGCCAGTCCTTGTCCACTAATATAGAAATGTGTAACGATTAACAAAAGAAAGAGGAAAACGCAAGTCCATGAATAATTTTTTAAGAATTATTTATTGTATATTATGTAATAAAATTTACACAACCCAGTTGTCTTGCGTTGTTTCTTTTGAATTGCATGGTTAGTATGAAATATATGGAGATAACGAACAGTATTCAAGCTCAAAAGTCCATTTAACAATACAAAATAGGAGAAGAGCAAACACGGATCTCCAAACATCAGAGGTGGGATAAGGTGCCATGGAGGAGTGAGCATCCCCTGCCGACCGGTCACACCCGCCGTGTGCTCCTTGTCGTGATCGGGATATAACGGAAAAATCCGTCGACAATTCAGTGTGTAAATAATAGGCTAACAATTAATATGAAAAACGTCTGTCAGCATTTGACTCAATGATAAATTGTATTTGCTGACAAGGTCATTGAATCGACCATAGAACTAATGATGACTTTAAACGAGACAGCTGAAATTCTTGTTTCATCAACTTGTTTGTCAATAATTTACCTCGTTTTAGAAATTTTACATACATAAAGCATGCTCTTGCGTAACGAATCAACTGAGAGAAATATACCCCGTATTCAGGTGATGAAGGTATATTGCTCCATAAGTAAGGGAAGTTGACGATTGAAAAGTTAAAGTCATCACGTTTATCATAAAGCTTGGTTGTTAGATTACCATTAACGTCTTTTTCAAGTAAAATATCCAAATATGAAACAGATGTGTCAGACTCTGTGGTATCTTTTATCTCATGTTCAGCAGAACATATCGTATCGACATAAGAATGGAAATAGTATATTATACGAAAAAGTGAGGGGTGTTACTTTTGCATACTGGCAAGACTGGCACTCAAATAAAATATGACTGCACCAAAATATATCTAGAGCTAAGGAATTCCAGACAATTTTGTCTAACTTTCTATGGTATTGAGGTTCCTAAACGTCTCATGCATCTAGCTATCGAATAAAGGATGTAGTATTTTTGGCGGATCTATTTAATCACCAATGACGTACTACACAACCTGACATCTCGATTGGTAACTTCTCCAAACCGTAAACGGTGCAGCCACAAGCATCAGGTGTAAGAAAAGGTAAACTATCCATTTTAAGCTTAAAAATAGTGTCAATGCTTCCTAGGGATGTAATTAAATATTAAACAATGCTAATGATAATGCAGAGGGAAGTAGTGTTCATATTTATGACGTACAACTATTATAATCAGCAATTATTAATGAAAGCAAAACATGGCGGATATCGAAGTCGAGGACGTGTAATACAAGTAAACATGTGCACATGTATCGTACACAAAATTTTAAGCATAAAGCCACAACGAAAGTTAGACTTGTTGGAAAAATTTCGAAATTTCAATGATAGTGCAGTTTTAAAAAAAATAACATGGTATACTATGACAGCTAGACCACAGCTTTCACACCACACCATTGTTGAAAGAAGAGTTCGCCCTCGAACGGTAACAAATATTTTAAAAATAAAATAATTATTATTCAATAATTTAATTTAATTTTTATCATTTAATTTAATTATTATTGCATTTTAATAGTGGTAACTTACCAATTTATTTTTTAAACAATAAACATTATGTATACATCAATACATTTACAA